AAAAAGGAAGGAGAGGAAAGCAATGGTTTGTTCAAGACAGTGTTTGTACGTGCTGAGCTTCAACAATCTCAGGTTACACAAAGACTTAGTTTAACTCAAAAGGTCTGACTCCTCCATCAGGACATTTTCAGCAGCACCACCTTTAGTTGGACCTTACACTGAGAAAACTTTTCTAAAAAATAATTTTTATAGTTGATAGTTGATTTTGGAGTTAAATAGCTAACATTGGGGCAGCACGGTGGCACAACTGGTAGAGCTGCTGCTTCTCAACGAGCAGGTCCCTGGTTCAAATCCCGGTCCGGGGGCCCTTCTGGGTGGAGTTTGCATGTTCTCTCTGTGCATGCGTGGGTTTCCTCCAGTTAGGACGCTTGACAGAATCGGAGCTGCATTCACACACATGCTTGTTTATTGTTGTTGCTCTCTAAAATAGTAATTTCAATTCAACCTTTATTTATACAGGTTAGTCTCATTGAGCCTTGTCATCTACAAGAGAGACCTGTTACTAATCAGTTTAAGCAAATGTTTACAGATGTTTAACAACATGTTAGAATACACCAAAATGCAGGAAATTGCATTTCTTTTGTTCCCCCCCCCCCCCCGCCCATAGAGACAAACGGCACAACCAGTCACTGCCTCTCTCAAAACCTCAAGACAATTTGTCACCCATATTATGTCTTTTCCTCTCTGTCTGAGTATCTGTACATACAGATGGATTTATAGATGTATAGTTGTATGTGTGTGTAATAAAACATATCCACCTTGTCGTATCTTTCTTTTTGAATATTTCCACTTCAAACTTAGGTCCTCATCCAAGGCCATGGGAGGTTGGGGTGTTCAGTTTCAATAAATAAAATTAAAGATCAACCAAAGTGTTGTAATTAAAGAGAATCACAGTCTCAAAAGGTTTTTCTATTTTTGCTTTAGTTTAAAGTACATACATAATGTACATATATAATCTGTTATTTTCAATAAAGCTCTTTGGCTTATAGTTAATCGATTCAAACAATTATGTGCCAGTCAATTCATCACAACAATAATCTTCAAACTAATAATAAAAAGATTACTAAGCAGGAGCAATAAAGCATGACCGTGTTTGCTTGGGCTCAGTTTGACCTCTTGTTAGATACAGGATAGATTCAGTTACAGCTGTTGATGAACTGCCCTCTGTTTACATTGAGAAAACTTTACTTCACATTATACAGCAAGAATGATTCGTTTAAAACAAATCTGATTTATTTCTAGTCTCTGCAAATTCAGAGGACAGAGGTAAATGAGAGTTATGTGATGGAGTCCAATTCAATTCAAAATTAATTTATTAATCCCAGAGCTAAATTAAATGTTGTTGTAACTCATCATCCTGGTTTCATTAAAGAGTTCTTCTAGATGCTGATGCTGTGGGCAGGAAGGATCTCTTGTAGCATCTGTCCCACAACGGATTTGAAGAAGCCTCTGACTAAAGACACTCTGTTGTTGTATGACAGTCTGATGTTGTATGACAGTCTGATGAAGAGGGTGCTGAGGGTTGTCTATAATGTTCTTCATTTGATGAAGAATCCTTCTTTGTACAATCATCTCCAAAGGTTCTAGAGGAGTCCCCAGAACTGAGCCAGCCTTCTTTATGAGCTTGTTGATCTTTTTTAAGTCACTTGCTCTGGTGCTGCTCCCCCAACAGATGATGGCAGAAGAGATAGTGCTCTCTACAACAGACTTATAGAAGATATGCAGCATCTTGCTGCAAACACTGAAGGACTTCAGCTTCCTCAAGAAGTACAGTCTGCTCTGCCCCTTCTTGTAGACGCTTCACTGTTGCATTTCCAGTCCAGTCTATTTGTCCAGGTGAACTCCAAGGTATTTATACTTCTCCACCACCTCTACTTCTTCTCCCATGATGGAAATAGAGTTGGATCTGTTCCTGATTCTCCTGAAATCTAAAATCATCTCCTTTGTTTTGTTCACATTCAAGATGAGATAATTGTTTCCACACCATGCCACAAAGTGGTCCACCAGTTCCCTGTACTCAGCTTCTTGTCCATCTCTGATACACCCGACCACTGCAGAGTCATCTGGATATTTCTGCAGATGACAGGAGTCTGTTTTGTACTGGAAATCTGAGGTGTACAGAGTGAAAAGGAATGGTGAGAGTACAGTCCCCTGTGGTGCTCCTGAACTACTGACCACCTGGTCAGACACACAACCCTTCAGTCTCACAAACTGTGGTCTGTTTGTCAGGTAGTCTTTGATCCAGGTGATTGTTGAGGCCTCCACCTGAGTCTTCTGGAGTTTCTGACAAAGAAGATCAGGCTGGATTGTGTTAAATGCACTGGAGAAATCAAAGAACATGACTCTCACAGTGCTGTCTGCCTTTTCTAGATGACAGTGAGTTTGCTGAAGCAGGTGTATGATGGCATCTTCAACTCCAAGTCCACGCTGATAAGCAAACTGCAGTGGGTCCTGATATGTGCTTGTTTGTCTAGTCAGGTGGGTCAGCAGAAGTCTCTCTAGGACCTTCATGATGTGGGATGTCAGGGCAACAGGTCTATAGTCATTGTGGACTGATGGGTAGTTTTCTTTGGCACTGGAACAAGACAGGATGTTTTCCACAACACTGGAACCTTCTCCTGGGTCAGGCTAAGGTTGAAGAGGTGCTGCAGAACCCCACAGAGCTGCTCTGCACAGACCTTCAGGACTCTGGGACTGACACCATCTGGACCTGCAGCCTTATTCCGGTTCAGTCTCTCCAGCTACTTCCTCACCTGACTTCAGGAGACGCAGAGGGGGGAGGCAAAGGAGGTATCACCATCTTCTGATTTGGTTGAAGACCAACATGTAGAAGAAGAAGGGACCATGACTGAGGTGGTAGATAAAATATTTGAGGTGTGACAGGACAGCCTTGGGTCAAAGGAGGGTGGTATGTCTGTTTGGCTGTGGGCAAGAGAGGAGGATGCTGAGCTTGTTCCTGAACTGAACCTATTGAAGAACGTGTTCAGTTCATTGGCTCTGTCCAGGCTTCCATCCTTCTGATCCTCCTTCTGCTTGAAGCCTGTGATCTGTTTCATCCCTGACCACACCTCTCTGATATTGTTCTGCTAGAGCTTGCTCTCCAGCTTCTTCTTGTACACCTCCTTGCTGTTTCTTATCTTGACTTTAAGTTGCTTTTGTGTACTCCTCAATAAGTCCCTGTCTACCTCCACAAAGGCTCTTTTTTTCTGGTTTAGTAGTTCCTTCAGGTCAGTGGTAATCCAGTGTTTGTTATTGGGGAAGCATCTCACTGTTCTGGCGGGGATGGTGTTGTTTACACAGAAGTTTATATAGTTGGTCACACACTCAGTCATGGCCTTGATGTCCTCTCCATGTGGCTGGCACAGTGCATCCCAGTCTGTAGCCTCAAAACAACCCCGCAGGGCTTCTTCAGCTCCCACTGACCATTTTCTCACTGTTCTCTTTATTACAGGTTGCCTCTGAACAAGGAGTTTATATTTTGAGCAGAGAAACACAAGATTGTGATCTGATTTGCCAAGAGGGGGTCTTGCTTTAACGATGTATGAATCCTTGACATTTGCATAAAACAAGTTTTGTTTTCTCTGGTAGAGCAGCTGACATACTGTTGGAATGTCGGAAGTGTAGCAGAGAGAGAGAGACATGATTAAAATCCCCAGATATTGCAACAAACGCACTAGGTTGTGTTTGTAGCTTAGCAACCTTGGAGCTGATGACATCACACGCAGTCTTGGCAACAGCATTGGGTGGAATGTAAACAGTTGCCAAAATAACACTGGTGAACTCTCTGCAAATAATATGGACGAGAACTTAGGGCTAACAGTTCAATATCTGGACTGCAGAGATGACACTTCACAGTAACATGTCCAGGATTACACCATCTGTTGTTCACAAGCACTGCCAACCCACCTCCTTTCCTTTTGCCACTCCTCTTTAAATCTCTATCTGCTTGTATGGTCAGAAAACCTGGCAAGGAAACGCTGGAGTCGGGGATATGATCCTGCAGCCATGTCTCAGTGAAACATATAACACTGAAGTCCCGATACTCTGGATTAGTCCTTGTTAGGGCTTGAAGTTCATCCAACTTGTTTCCCATTGATCTCACATTGCCCATCATGATCGACGGAAGAGATGGTTTAAACTTCATTCTTCTCTCTTTCTCCCTCTTCTTTGCTCCTGCTCTGCATCCACGATGCCTCCTTTTCAACTCATTTGGGATTTGGGGCTGTAGTTGAGATATTATTTGAGCTTTGTAGATGTTAATCAGCTGCTCCTGGTTGTAAAAAAACAACCTTGTTGTTTTGGTTACGCATCATAACAAATGTCCAAAGCAAAGATATTTCTGTAAAAATCCTTCCAGTTGCACAGCATCTGACACCAGAGGAAACAATCATCCAAAAAAAGCGATTTATATCCAGAAAAAAGAGGAATTAAAGTTTTCAAAGTAATATCTCAGAATGAAAGTAACAGAGCTACTCCAACATGCAGCCACCTTGAGCGACACAATTCTAGAATATATATGTGTGTGTATGTATATATATATATATATATATATATATATATATATATATATATATATATATATATATA